AATTATAATCAAGACTATTAGAATAGGACAATTTGTGCCAAAAGCACATTTACACGCAGACTTGTCACTTAGTACTGTCACAGGAGGGATCATCTCTTTCTGTAGAAACACAGAAAAGTTGTATAGTCTGCCTTTTAAACGTTCAATTTCTAGATGGTATGAGAATCCCTCACTGACCTTGGATGAATTATTTCCCCCTCATTGTTCCAACAACCCCAGCAAAATCACCCAAAAACCACAGCAGGCCATTGTGTGGTAGAAAATTGGCAGCCCTGGAAATCAGGCTGCCATGGATTCTGTCCCTTCCCATTGGGCAGTTTACCTCTGGCTCTCAGTTTCATCCTATGTGAAAAAGCAACAGTACCAAGACCAGCACCTGAAGGTCTTTAAACAATTCAAACAGTCCTAGGTATGTGTCAAAAGCTGGGCAAATATTATTGCCATGATTACTAATATATTGAAAGCTGTGTGACCTAGGACAAGTTATTCATTCTCTACGGACATCTATTTTGCATTTTTGCCAAGTGGACTCAATCAAGAAGGCATTATTACCCATTTCATGTTTTGGAATCTAGACTTCAACACAACAGAATGACTTGCTAGAGATCCAATAGTAAGTGGACAATCTGGATCCTATCTCAGTTTCCATGGGACTGTTCCACTGCACCAGATTCCTGCTCCATTATAAAAGCACAAGGTCTGGCCTTTGTCCACTTCAATTCTGCAAACAGTGTCTTTTGACTCAGTGTCTTTCAGAGATGGGACTCTGTCTTGACTTGCTATTCACCCTGTCTGGGAACTGGTTACTGAGTTCGACCATGCATGTGAGACTTCCTGCCTTAGGGGATTTCTAAGATTTCCTGTCACCAAATCAACTTCATGCCTTCTTACGAGTGCCTCTTTAAGCAAATAAATTAGAAGTTATGATATATTTTCACACCACTGTCTTTTGTCTTTAATTATGACTCACTGTTCATGTAACTAACACATTAGACAGATTGTGAAACCTATTCTAAATTACCTTGGGAAGATGTTGTACCACCTAAATTAAACCCAAATCTGTTCTACACATTTGCTAGAAGAGCAGTTAAGTAAAGTTCGTCTCTTTAGCATATCATTTTAAAATTTGCAACCCCTTTCTTTAGTAACAACTAGAATAGTAAGTGGTAGAACTATAAAAGTCAAACTTTCCAGCTACTCTTAATTTCCAGTGCATCTGTAAAACAGACTGCTTCCATTATGGGTAGTAGGCAGAAAGTCTCAATCTCCCAGTTATTTGAAACTTTTAATTTAGCAGATCTAAAAGAAGACATAATCATGGTACCCATAGGAACTTCCATCTAAGGACATACTCTCCTGCTTACAACAGTCCAACTTGAATTCCATACCAAAGTGCATTGCAAAAGCCAGTGTTCTCAGACTATATCAGCTTAATGCTCTCATTGAGTTGGTTTGAAGGGACACATCCCTGCTATTTAATGAAAGTTTGAAAGAATGCCCAATTAAAAACCACCTGACAAAAATCCCAGAGTGAAGAATGTTGAGAAATTGCTATACAGACAAAAACAGCTGGGCCTAGCAACTGCACCATGTGGATGGGTACATTAGCATAAGTGGGAGCCTCATGGAAAAAAGTTTATTATATCAGAAAGGAGAGCTGAAGTGGGGAGGCTTCCTCCAATATTATCAGAAGAAATATGTCATTCCAAGTACTGCTTTCTATCCGTAGCTCCTGCCTCAGCCCAGCACCTATTCAATGGTTCAAAATCCATATATAGGTGCTAGTTTTGAGCCTCACAGCAACAAAATAAAAATAGAGTTCAATGAAGCATGCAAATAGTGATACAAAACAGAAGAAGGCAATAAGGAAACTATTTGATACAGTCATTTGGTTTTCAATAGCAGAGAGGCTAGGTTTAAGTCCAAATTCTGCTGTTTAATGCCTGTGTACTTTGGATATGTTACCAAAAGTCTTGAAACCTTAGTTTCCTAATGTGACATTTTGAGTGTTCATCAGATTGATGTAATATGAGAAAACTAGGCATATGCCATGCATTAAGCAATAGAACAGGACTTTAAAGCACTTAGTCAGGATAGCTATTGTGAGAAGTCCTCTCCCCCTTCTACAAAGTTATATACTACACAGAGTCAAGCAACCAAGTGGAGAAAGTGATTGAGAATGAACACCTATGCAGATATGGAAACAAATGATAGTCAGAGAAATTCAGAACTATAGAAACTGCATGGCAGCTAAGATTTGTGGGGCTTAAAAGTCTTGACTGGGGGTACAAGGACAACATCACATGAGGAGATGGTATATTGCTCATCCATCTGATCTTCATATGAACAGGCATTGCTTGTCTACTGTGTCATGTATTGTGCTCAATGTTGAGAAAACAAAGTGTAAACAGACATGGGTCTTGGTCCCCGCAGAGCATGTAGGGAATATAAAAGTCCACACATGACTTTCAAGCAACCCACTAGGAAATTTTCAAAAAGCTATAGAGTCTTGGAGGAAGCCAGGGTCAGACAACACATCAGTAGAAGCCAAGTAAAAAGAAACTGTTTGTTTATAGCGACAGGAACTCCTGTAGTCCTACATGCTGGGAAAACAACTATGAATAAAATATTGTCATTGAGAAGATTGCTCACTACTCCTCCCTGACTACTCATTAAAAAGCCCTTGAAGGATACCCACCCATAAAAAGTATCCCTTGAACTAAACATGGTTTTATTTTATTATTTTTATTTTATGTGTATGCGTGTATGTATGGAAGTGCACCAGTGTCGTGCAGTGCCTGGGGAGATCAGAAGAGGCCGTCGGATCCCCTGGAACTGGAGTTACAGACAGTGGTTAGCTGTCATGAGGGTGCTAGGACTTGAACCCTGGTCTTCTGCAAGAACAGTCAGTGTTCTTAGCCACTGAGCCATCTCTCCAGCCCCTTGAGTGACCTAAAAATTAATAGCTATCTTCATTTTAAATATGATGTAACTAGCGCTCAGAAAAGTGAAGTTCAAGTCACACTAAATCTGAGTTTTGGAACTCTCCACCAGCTACAATATCCAAAAACCAGACATCTCTGGAGTCAGAACTGGAAAAAAAGTGTTAAAACAACTTTCAACATTTTTCCTTTCTCTTTTTTACCCCTATTTCCCACTTCTGATTAACCATTTCACTGATGTATACTTTACTGAAGCTCCCTCAAGTACTTTATGGAAAGAGATGTCCTATAAATAAACCACTCAGTGCATAATGCATGCATGCATATGTATTTGCTTAATGAGTCATGGTTTGAGTTGAAAAGCCCTGACTGGCACCAGTCACACAGAGAACTGCAGGGGTTTCACTTCTTGTGTGGCCAACTTGAAGCCTGAAGCAACGGGGTAGAGTAGAAAGGAGTTCCCTCGAGTGGGCAGGAGGCCCTGGCTTGCCACTTGCATACTGTCTAGATGGCTGACAATACGTTTACTTTGTTGAACTTTAGTATTCATATCAGTAAAATGGGGAAATTCATTCTTTAACTGCTACCTCATCTGGCTAACAAGAGATTATAATTGTGTGACTATGTTCTAAGTTGTAGGGAGTTGCACAAATGTAAGTCATTCCGATTAATATTAATAACTTCACTCCACCATTCAAGTCTCTCTCAAGCAGATTGTGTAAAATAAATTCAAAAACCTCACCCTAGCCTGGCTTTCTTTTTGTGTCCCATCTACTTTTCTGTATATCATTTCTTTCTGTCTTTATTCACCTCATTCCCAGAATTCCTGTTCCTTCTGTGGCTGGCTTATTTTACTTAGTATGAAGGACCCAAGGTTTATCCATGTTGTCACAAATAACAGGATTTCCGTCTTTTTCAAAGTTGAATAACATCCCATTCTATGTATATAACATGGTATCTTTATCTATTTATCTGTCAGGAAACATTTGGTTTGTCTCCATAATTTGACTATTGTGAGAATTGCTATAACAAACATGTAAATATGGATATCTTTTAGAAATCTGATGCCAAATCATATGGTAGTTCTATTTGGGATGTTTTTTCAAGGAATCTCCACACTTTTTCATAACGGCCCTACTGTTTTATATTCCCATAAATAGTGTAGAAATGCTCCATTTTCTCTTTATCCTTGACCACACACACACACACACACACACACACACACACACATTCATTCTACCAGTTCTGTTTCTTTAGAGAACTCTGACCAATACACTCCCCAAACTGCACCATGAACTGGGGACCAAGTGTCCAAATACTTGAAGCATCCGAGGGACACTCATTCAGTCCAAGTGAATCAAACTTCATAGAGGAGAAAACTGGGGCTTAAAGAACACAAAAGAAATTGGTCCACTACAAGGTAACTGAGCTGGCCAGGGAATCCAACCTAACCTGACCAAGATGCTAAATAGTGGATTCTGACTGTTTGTTATACGATGATAACTCATTGTGGTTTTGATGATGCTTTTCCCTAATGTCTTCACTGTTCTTTCTTTGAAGTGTCCTTTCTAGGAAGTGGATGAATGTGCTTTTCTCTAAGCCCCCTCTACTTCCATGATTCACACTAACCTAGACACTGTGATTCTTCAGTAGTAACATCTCCACCTCCCTAAATGTTGTCAGGAGGTGAGACTCCGATATGACAGCAGGAAGTACTCCCCAGCACTAAGTCATTTCAAGCAGGCCTGACAATGGGAAGGCTCTCAGCTCTCTATGGCTCCCTGAAAGGTCTGCCATCTTATCATACAGCGTTCATCTCAAGAAGGAACTTCTACAGAAACTAATCTTGTGCTGTCAGTCAGCTATACCAGCTTCTATGATTCTGAAATCATAAGAAGAAATGACCAACTAAACTTATCCCACTTCTGTTTCGGCCTGGGGTACAATCTCCCCTACTTTTCTCCCTTGATTTAAATTATCCCTATCAACCAAATTATTTCAACGCTGCCTCTGTGACAGTCATAATTTAGAAGGTAATAATTTAAGAATGACACCCAGTGACAAAGTGACAGTATATTTTACAAATTTGCTTGAAAAACAGTTAAATATGGGCATTCCTAGCATATCTCTAACAGCCTTATTTATGATGAGTTTATAGACAAGACATGAAAAATGATAACTGAATTTATAAAAATAAAAATATATTAGGAAACTTTAAATAAATAGAGCATATGAGGCAATGACTAGGATATTTATGAACATATATTAATCAAGTTTTCTGAAGAATTAGTTACAAAAGAAAAATGATATAAAATGAAAGGGAAATATTGAATCGGGAATACTCTGAGAGATCCAGTAGAATTTAAATTGTATTCACTACACAAATGGAAAGTAAACAAACACTCAGATCAGCTGAAACTACAAAATTATTTTATAAGGTAGCTAAAACATAATATATGTTGTAACTTCCATTCAGAAGGCTAAGGGTAAGAACAAAGCCCCTGTCTGCTCTCACTGGGGCTCAGCCTCCTCTCATTCTCTTTGATATGATAGGAGTTGAATTGACTTCCTTTATTATGAGTCTTTGTGTGGGTTAGTTAAAATATACACCTGAAAGGTACAGCTTTGCTCAATATTTGTTCCCTCTGCAGGGTGAGCTCCATGAGGATCCCTGTCTTGTGCAGTCTTGGGTGCCACTGAACCACTCACTGTCCACAGCAGAATCCCTGGTAAGCTACAACATTTAAAACTTGTTAATAGAATGAGTGTTGGACCCAGCAAGGCTAAAAGTGCCCTAGATAGAAGTTGTTGCTTCGTGTTGGTCACCATCTGCCTCGGGACTCCACGCTTTTCCATCCAGCAGGGCTTTCCTGAGTCTTCTCCAGAAGATGTGCCTCCCCAGCATGTTGTCCTCCCACTCCAGGTAGGTGTTCCTGCTGAGGAGGCGGTACAGCTCCACCTGTTGCCGCAGCAGGGATTTCTTCACCTTCTCCAGGACGATGAAGATGATGCCTGAGTGGCTGCTCAGAAACTGCCAGGTTTGAGCAATCTCATATTCAAAGATACACCAGCGGCTCTGAATAAAGTGCTGAGACACCACCACGATAACTTTCCGGCTTTTGTGGAATCCTTCCTGGATGATGTTAGCAGCGATCGCCACACCGGGAACGAAGTCTCTGTAGTGGAGGCAGAGCTGAAAGGGGGGAACCCCTTCTTCTAAATTCTTTACCAACTCATTTCTCACCCAGTCCTCATCCTGGCTCGAGTAGATGACAAAGGCATCATAGGTACTCTCACCTCTGCCATACTTTTTACAGCCAGCAATAAGCATCAGGTGAAAATAGAATTTATAGACCAGAAATGCTACAGTGAATACCACGAGCACACTAATCACAGACACACTGATGATAGTCTTGCTCATCTGACAAGTGGAATTCCTAAAACTCAGCACAGGCATGCCGGTCAGTCCTAAAGGTGTTGCACATTTCATTTGTTCAACATCCACCAAGCGCTGCTTCTCATCCTTGACCCACTGCATGAAGGTCTGATGTTCACACATACAAGAAAAGGAATTATTAGTAAGATTTAAGAAATCTAGACTCTTAGGAAAATGTGGAAGTATTTCTCCTTTGGAAGTCTCTATGTGATTGAAACTGCAGTCCAGAACCTGTAGTGAGTAGAGATGTTTATAACAAAGTGCATCCAATAACAATAGTTTGTTGTGACTCATATTTAGTAACTGAAGTCTAGGAAGTGTGTCAAATACTCCCTGAGACACCTGTTCCAGCTGACATTCAGAAAGGTCCAGGTATGTCAAATTAGTCAGGTTTGTGAAAACATTTGATAGGGTGTTGTCCTTGAAAGAGTTGCCAGCCATTTTTAAGATGTTAAGACTGACCAAGCCATGAAAGATACCATCGAAATCAATCCTTGTGCCGGTGTGTGAGATGTCAAGGTAAAGGAGTTTGCCAAGGGATAAGAACACTGAGAATTCGGTGGCCTTTTTTAAAGTGGAGTGCTGGAAATCCAGATATTCTAGCTGTTCTAAACCTATAAAGTTTGAACTCATGAAGATGACACCATTGTAGCTGAGATCCAAATGCTTCAGTCTGGTTGTACCCAGATCAGAATGGGAACAGCAACCCATGAAACTCAAGCCATTTCTACTGAGATCTAGAAACTCAAGGCTTGGGAGTTCCATTTCGAAAAAACTGTTAGCATCTTTGTTGATAGTGAAAATCAAACTTTTAAGAAAAGGAAGCACCAGAGAGGGAAAAGAGTCAACTCTACATTTAATTACTGATAAGGATTGCCATTTGAAGGTTTTAGGAATGTGTTTTAGATTTTTAATATACAGACTCACCAGAGATAGTGCAGAAACTTTTTCTAAACATGTGAAGTCAGTAGCATCCCCTGAGAACTCATCCATAAATGTCAGTCGGAATTCATCAATGGTCACATTGCAAAATCCTTTCATGGTGGATCTGTCAAACCTTTCCACATTCCTTTCATTTTTAAATTCTCCCAGGATCAACCGATGAACTTTTAAACCCTCCAGATTTTCAATACAAGTTTCCATTACATTTGTATTATTAAAATTACTTCTCAGAGTCAGTTCATGGAGAGTAATGTTTTTAAAGGCACCAAGTTGAATGTAGTCAATTGGGTTCAGAGACAGGTCTAAAGAGAGATTGAGTTGGGGGTTTTCATGTAGAACCTGTAAGTCTTTAAGGAAAATAGTTTTAATATTGTTTTTGGAAAGGTCCACATGTTCTAGGTTGGTCAGATTGGAAAAATATTCAGGTAACTTGAAGGAATGAATAAGATTGTGAGCCACATTGAGCTTCTTTAAAGTTATGAGATGTCCAATTGGTAAGCTCTCTAGAGAGGCTAGGTTTATCTGCACAGCCACCAGATTCTGTAAACTTGACAGTCCAGAAAAGCTTCCTGGAGCTAACCTCTGAAGAGGGTTTCCTGTCAGTTTCAAGATCCAGAGCTGGTATAAGCCCTGATACGCATCATCTTCAATTGTCTCAATTTCACACCTACAGGGAAAAGAGATACCATTATATATGTCTGCATAACAAAAATTCACAATATCATGACAATCCCTGCCATCCAGTTATACATACGATCTGATATGCCACATGACGGGGAACCAACAAAGACATGAGGGCAATGATATGAACAATTAAGAAGTTCTGCAGTCAGTATTTGCATATTGGCTACAATGATAAACTCTATCACACTAGGTACACATGCTAAGCAGAGCAGCAGATTCATCAGAAGGAAATCGATTAAAGATCAATAAATGGGGCACAAAAAGATTGTGTGGTTGCCAGAGTATGTAATAGCCTTAAATCAAGCTAAGCTATTTCTTGTCACACATAGCTATGATTATCCATCTAAGCAGTAAAGACTACATAAGGTGGTTGTTAGTCGTTAGCCATGAGAGATAGCTGGCGAAGGTCAATTCCAAAGACATGAGTAATAAGTGGCATGGATGCTGTTAAGGTTTACAAAATTTTCTGCATATACGACAGCTAGATATTTGAAATCTGTCATTACCAGAGGTGAATGCCAATAATGGGTGACAGAAGTGAACCCTTTGGAAGAATAGTAAAATTGACTCATAGTTTGCATCAAGGGAGCTGACCTTCTCTAGGGGTTCAAAGCAGCCTTCTCTGAGACTATTTAAGTGGAAATTTGAACAATAAGGAGGGAACATGAAAAACTGTGAACAGCAGATCGGAAGCCCAAGGTAGATGGCAACCATGTGACATGGAAGAGCCATGACAGACACTTTCTGTGGTTGTAACACAACATGGGAACTGGAAGGAACTAAGACAAGAGAGAGGAGGATATAGATAAAGCACATACTTTCAAGCCTAATACCATAGTATTCATAGAGATGTGCTAGCAACAGAGCTCATCTGCAGTTAACAAACAGGGGTGCATGACTAACTCCTGGTAGCTTTGCAAGCATGTGCCAGTTACAGTCTGCAAACAAATTTCCTATTCTAACCTGAGTTACTTTTACAGTGACCCTCACCTGTTCTATTTTCTTTGGGAGAGGGCAGCACAGCTGGGGTTTGGTGAATATACTCCCTTCTCTCCTTACATGATCTTTAGAACCAGTTTTTCTCTTTGCATTTCTGTGATTCCACTTCTAAATGAAGCAGCTGAAGATTATTTCTCTAGTGTCTTCTTTCAAGTGTATAAATTCATAGCCCATAATTTTATGCATGTATTTCCATACACATCAGAAAACACTGAAAGGGTCTTGCTCTGTTTCATTACACCCAACTCATCACTTTAGAAGAGTTGAGCAATAGAATGAAGAAACATTGAATTTGGAAGCTAGAGATGTGGACTTGACTCTAATTTGTTGAAGTGAGCAATGTTAGTGTATGTAGATACATCACTTCAACGCCTGCACACTCAGTTTTTTCATTCATAAAAAGAAAAAAATCCTATGTAATAATAATTATGCATATACGTATATATGCTTCTATAGGGGAAATAAAGGCCACGGGAAAATCATACATCATTCTCTGAAGACCAGTTCATTACTATAGATTAGACACTGTGTGAGAAGGCACAAGGCACACTTCATGTTATTGTATCTCTGCTGTAATCCAGAACCTACTACAGGCTAAGAAAGATGAACCTCACTTCCTTCTACACACATCCAAACCATTTAACAAAAGTTCTTCGGGGTATATTACAGCTCAGTGATGAATAGTACATTTTTCGCTGAGAAACTATATCTTGTTTATTTAAAAAGAAGACCCATTATTGTCTGTGAATTTCATTTCTACTTCTCTGTCTACCTCAGTTCCGTTTAATGCTCCATGGGAAAACTAAAACATAAAATCTAATGAAATGATTCTAATAGCATTTTATGCTTATAAAACTCATAATATGATTTTAATATATGCAGTATTTAAGCATTCATTATGACATTTAACCATAAAGAGTAAGGCTGCTCCCCGCATTCCATCATTTCCATTTAATAGATGTGAAAACTGAGATGCAGGAAGTGATATGTATTAGGTCATGTGTAATGTTGGAGGAAGACTGGGCTTAGGTCTTCTGTTCCTCATGAGCTCAATGCTCTATGCCAATGCCTTAAAAAAGATGCTCTCCCCTCTGCAAAGCTCTATCAATATACAAGTAAGAGTATAAATATTGGGTAGTTGCTAACTTTTCCATAGAAATGTCCACTCTCCAGAGGATTTTTATACCATAATCTTTGTCTTTATTTCTATAAAAAAATTCATGAAATATTTCTGTATTTTTCACAACCATTACATAGAAAAAATGATCTATTATCTACTTTAAATTTTAAGGAGGCCCGTGATCAAGCTGGAACTGAGTTGGAAATATCCTCCCTGCTGCCCAGACTTCATAGTGACAAAAGGTGCTAGCCAGGCTTCTGGGATAGAAGAAACATCAATGTTCTTACCAATCTGTGACTCCTATGAACTACACACTAACCTGTCAAGCAAGAGGAACCCATGCGCTGCAACATTGGCATAACTATTACATGAGGAACCCATCACTCTCAGGATGGATTTGAGGTCCAGCTGGAAGGAATACATTATTGTTAACCCAGTCAAAAACCCACGACTATGAAGATCATAGACCCTTTCAGGGGTGGAGTCCACACTACTATGGTTTAGCTAAATCGACATACCACTAAACTGCAGTCTAAATATTTATATTCAAATCCACTAGAAAAATGACACTTTTATCTGTAAATGGTATTCTTAGGGGTGGTGTTGAGAGAGGGTTTCCCTATAACCCCAGCTGGCCTGGAACTCACTATGTAGACCAGGATGGCCTCCATCTTCTAGAGGACCAAATGGCTCTGTCTTCCAAGTGCTAGGATTAAAGGTGTATACCACTACAGCTGTTCTATCAAGCTTATTTGGAAAAGCTTCTCTTTGCAGTAAATATCAGTGAGTGTAGAGATTCATGGATGTCCAAGATGCTTACAATTAATGTGTTTTAGGACTCAGACCTAAATATCACATTTACACAGCCTTTTATAAGGCATTGGAGCTCCAAAACACAGAATTGCTCAACATTCGTTTCTTGTTTACTATGTATACAGTAACAGGGTTAAGAGTTTAACACAATAACTCTTTAGAGGATGGAGAGATGACTTAGGGTTAAGAGCATTGGCAGAGGACCTGGGTTCATTCCCAGTACCCGCACGGCAGCCAATAACCATTCATAACTCCAGTCCCAGGGGATCTGACATGCTCTTCTGACATCCTTGGCTATTTCATGGCATGGGTACACTTACACATATGTAGGCAATACCCGCATAACATAATAAAGATAATTGTAATAAAGAACAAAATCATAATAACTCTTTAAAAAGGATCTGCATCCTGCTAAACAAAAGGGATGTGTGTTATAGGTCTATAAATTCTTGTTTTGGAGCACAGTGTGCAACATGCAGCAAAAGATCAATAAATATGTGCTAATGAAATTGTTTGTTAATGTAAAAGCCAAAACTGTCCTTACAGACTGCCTTATCCAGCTGCCTATCAAATTGAAAACCAGCAAATGGAAGTGGCTTGTCCAAGGATATATAGCAAGTCAGACACCTGCTGAATGAATGGATACTCAAAGTAAGTTGAGATAGCATCAACTAGGGTTTGGGGGCCAGGAATTCAATGACAGAACAATAATTATCTCACCTTGTGTAGTATGTAAAAGCTCATTCATTACCTGGATAAATCCAGCACCTGTAGTTCTGGGAAATTAGAGAAGCTATGGCTCCCTAAGCTCTTCAGAGGGTTGAAGCTCAGATCCAAGTTCTTGGTTGAAGAAGGAATGTTGTCTGGGATTCTGTAGAGCTTCTGCTCCATGCATTGGTATGTAATGTTAGGATGAACCTGTAAAGATCACACAACAAATGCAATGTCCTACTGCATGTGTTCCCAACTCCCATATCCAAAGTCAGAGAGTGAGAAGGTGGGACACACCATTACAATCACACTGGTCATCTTTCTCCCATCTATTCAGTCTATTCTTTTGTCTTTTTTTGAAGACGGGGTCTCATTTACCCCAAACTGGCTTCAAACTTGCTAAGTATCCAAAGATGACCTTGAACTGCTTCACTCTGCCACCCAGGTGCTGGTATCACAGGTAGGTGCCACTGCACCCAGTAATCTATCACTTCATGATTGTAAAATGTTTTAATGTCTGATAGAGAAGAAAAAGCACCTCTTATGTTCTCAGTGTTCTAACCTCTTACTATGATGACGTTATCATTAAGTGAAAAACAATAGAATCAGGTCCTCAAAGCTCTGAAATCTGGAAATTTGGTTTCATACCAGCTTTGCTCTGTGACCTCCTGTGAACTTCACTTGTCACATATAAAACGTGGACAATGAAATAATCTAATACCATTCTAATTACCATCCAAATTTTTTACAGTCATAAGATGAGTACTAAGATGTCCAGACATCTCCTAACTACAGCCCTACTCTCACGATCTCCTTCTCTTCTTCAGCTCACATTCTTTTAGCAACATGATGCAGAGATTAGGGCAACTTTGGAGTGCTTGGATTCTAGTGGGAGCAACTAGTCACCAGTGTCAACTGCTTTGTGCTGCTGTGATCACTGTCTTGATTTCTATCTACTATCTCACACTTGTTGTAAACCCTATTCTATAACTTTCCACCTAATTTCAAAATCTTGTGATTTATCACAACAAAATGCTTTGTTTAAACCACCTAGTTTTGTTACGTTCTTTAAAACCAGTAGAATTCTTCCAGGATTAAATCAGATCAAAGCTGATCTCAAAGCTTGCTATAATGAAAGTGATAAATAAATATTAATGTTATCATTTGCTATTATTAATCCCTTGCCAAGGATCAGCATATTTATTGTATATGTTTTAAGTTAATCTTCAAAGAACGCTTTTAAAGATGAAGAAAATAGAGAAATGAGACAATATGCATAAAGTCAGAGGATTCATACATGCAGGTCCCCATGTCAAACATGTCTTTTTAAATGTTACTCATCCTAGTCTTGAAGACAATGTGTCTAATAGTGTGCCCTAGTTCAGTTTCTGTTGATGAGATAAAACATGGACCATAACCAACTTGGGGAAGAAAGGATCTATTTCACTTTAGCTTACAATTCACCATTGAGAAAAGCCTGGGCAGGAGCACAAGGCAGGTACTGAAGTACAGAACATAGAGGAACTCTGCTCCCCTGGCCTGTGCTCAGCCTGCTTTCTCACACAACACAGGGCCGGCCAGCTCCCCCGTGGGGATACAGCTCACAGTGGCCTGGAATCTACCGCATCACTCAATAACTAAGAAAATGCCCTTCAGACATGGTCATAGGCCAATCCAAAGGAGGAAATTCTTCAATTAAGGTTCCCTCCACCCAGGTGTGTCAAGTTGACACTGAAACTATCCAGCACACTGGACCAGAACTCCTCTCTTATTTTCTTTTCTCTTCTTTCACAGATTTTAATCACCAAGCCGCATTTTTATTACCTACATGATTATTTCCTAAATGTTGTTCATTTCCTGAACTACACTGTGCACTTTGACACTCTGATGAGTTGATTGGGTACTTGGTTTCCAATGGTCAGAATACTGCATGGTAAATTGTCAATGCTCAATAGACATTTATTGGATGGATGGATGGATGGATGATAAACATGAGATAGCTGATAGAACAAATGTGTTCTTAAGCACAAATGTAGGCTTCTTCTGCTAAGAGCTGTGGGCACAAAAGAAGCACATGATATGGCTGTAGACATCACTGAACTCACAAGTGAGAGGGTCAGCTAAGACAGGAGCACACTGAATATTGAATTCAAGAACCACAAAATTGACTGACACAAGGGAAGTAGAGATCATTTCCATGAATTTCAAAAATAAATCTGGAAAGCTGATCAGGATTGGGACATATGAAAAACAGAAGAAACATTTCATAAGGAAAAACAACATGAACTAATAAGGAGTGAAAAAAAAATTCAGATAAGCTCATAGCAGCAGACAGTGTAAAAGTTAAGCCACAAGAAAGCCACCGGGGCCTCGGACATTGTCCTGCGATCCTCTCATTCACTCAGGACACATAAACTGCGGAGCTACTATGTCTCAGGTACTGGCATCGAGGGAATGAAACCAACAGTAATTCTGCCTTCTTGTGGAGTCCACTACAAGGGAAGGAGCAATAATAAACAAATAGACAAAAGGACAAAATGATAAGATCTAGGAAAACACAGCGCAGTATAAAAGAGTTGAGTCCAAAGGCAGGGGGCTCCAGAAATCTCCATAACACAATGAAGATAGATCACCCTGAGGAGGAGACATTTAAGCAGCGATCTGAGTGATGTACTTGACTAAATCTTGAAAATAATAGAGCTTCCTGTTCCAGTATGGAAGCTGCTGTAAGCCATACAGAGCTGTAGAACATAAGATACGGGGTTAGTATATACTGAGATGTGTGGTAAACATAAAACACTTAGTAAATGTCTAATACTTAGTACCAAAGAATAAATGTAAAATGTATTCTTCATAGTTTGAAATATTTTGATGTACTTGATAAAACAAAAACAAAAATTAAATTCACACATTTATTTTAAATTCTCAGTGCAGACACTAGGAGAGATTTAAACTACATAAATGGTTTCCACAGCCCTGACCCAGGGAAGGGAAAGAGTGGGGTAAACAGTGAAAAGGCCTCATTTTACGAAACTACACTAACAAGTTACTAAATGTTTGAAAGGGTGTAATTGGACAGATTCAAGCCCCTGGAGCAGTAATAACAAGTAAACAAATGTGTGAGGTATTAAGTAAATGAATGTAAATCAGGAGACTAGTCATCACCCAGGGAGTCAAGGCCAAGGGAACTGAGACCCAGGCCTAGGGAAGGAGGAACATGCAGACTCCAGGGAACTGTCAAAATAAGGTATAGAGTGGAACTTATCTTAGTGCAAACCTGATTGGAAATTCTAACTCATTAACATCGCTAGGAATCAAGGAAGGAAGGCCACTGAGATAACAAGGAGTTAATCTTTGCTGTAAGTTAGAGCACATTATTTTTTCCCATGTCAACTCCGGGGCTCTGACTGGTTCTACCTGTCTTAAGTAGAATTCTTTCCTTGTTTGTTCAGTTCTATTGTCAGCTTTCGCAGTAATTCCGTGGTCTGTGCAGTGAGAAAAGAGATTAGTCATGAATCAAATTACTCACCAACCACTTGGTGTTTCACCTAGAGGGAAGTCACCCCCTTGGCTGATATCGTGCACCGTCCCCTTATCTTCCTTTTTTTTTTTTCTCTCCCCTACTCTTCCCCAACTCTCATTCCTTTCATCCTCTAAAATGAAATGTATGATTAGCTACAGAAATCTGAAATCTAGTTAGAAAGTTCTTTCTTCACAAATTTCATTGCATTCATTTATGTGCAGGTGTGCGTGTGTGTGTGTGTGTGTGTGTGTGTGTGTGTGTGTGTGTGTGTGTATGTGAATGCTTTGTGTACCTGACATGGCAGGTCAGAAGATGACTTGAAGGACTCAGATCTCTCCTTCCACCACAAAAGTCTTAGGTATTGAACTCAGGTCATCAGGCTTCGGGAAAGCACCCTTTCCTGCTAAGCCACCTCAATGGCTCTAGAAAGTTCTTTCTTAAAAAACAAAAATGAAAGCTACCTTTACCTGAGTTGGAAAGGGAAGGGATGAGTGATTGAAGCAAACTATTCAGACTACCAACAAAAAAGTATGATGCTAAAAGCAGGGGCCGGTGAAGGATTGTAATTCTTTTATAGATACAGAAACTGGTGTCACAGCGGTTTCTTAACCTCTTTAAGATCACAGAGACAAGTTTAAATCAGCCTTACAACCTAAGCTCCTTAATGCATCTCACAAGTCCTAAATGGGGCAAGACACATTGACTGCTTGTTCCCGCCCTGTGGACAGTGAGTTGTTTGGTCCCTATGGTTTCACAAATATTTGGTTAATTTAACTGCTGTGCAAAATAAAGTTGCCAGAGCACAGTGCAGGAAGTTCTGAGCAGGGAGCAGTTTTGAAAAACAAGAGGAAGTTCGGGAGGGAAGGAGACCAAGACATACCTCTATGCAGGGATGGAAGCTTTCTGTTTTCTGACAGGAGAGGAACACCGTGGCTAGGATCAGGGTCCCAGCCAGGCGTGGTATCATCCTGGCATTTTCTGTATCCAGCGGAGGCCATGAGAAACCATGACGAACTGTTACTCCTGGGCAGGGAAAAGTCCCCTGATACTGGTCTCTTCTCTCCCGGTGGGTGCCTCTCTGAAGTTACTGTATTCAAAGATGTTCTGGGCTAAAGGGTGAGAGGAAGTGAGAGTGCCAACTTAGCATTCTCAGTTTTGTTTTCTCTAGAATTTATCTCCCCTGTCAGAGGAGGGGAAGTTAGAAGACCAAGGAGGAGGACAAGAAGGGGAAAACATTTGCAGACTGCAGCTGGAGCAGTCCCAAGAGGAAGCTGGCGTCATCACAACAAGTCATCTGACCTTTGGGCTTGGGGAATGAAGGAAAATAATCAGCCATGCATACAGGCAGCATAACTGTGTGGAATAACATCCGTGTTCCAGTTTTGATTAAGTAGTGAAAACTTACTGTTCCTGCTAGCCTGCTAGGGCTGCCACTACAAAATTCCACAGACTGGGAGGTTAAAATACAGAAATGGATTTTCTTACAATGCTAAAGGCTGAAAGTCCAAGGTCTCCAGCATGCTTCTCTCCCAAACTCTTGCGTGCGCGTGCATGCATGTGTGTGTGTTTGTGTGTGTATGTGTGTGTGTGTGTGTGTGTGTGTGTGTGTGTGTGTAGGCCAGAGGTCACAGCAGGGTCTTCCTTGGTTGTTCTGAATCTGAATCTTATTTTTTTGTGATAGAAAGAGACAATTTATTAAGAAATGGAATAGTCTCCCAAGAAGGGGAATGAGTTAGCAAGCTGAAATAAAAGGCCCCCAAACTCCACATTTTAATTAGGAACTTTAACTGAAATTAGTGCTCACTGATTGGCTAGACAGACTGGAAGCTACCCCTTGGAATTAACTTATCTTTGTTCTCCTTAGTGCTGGGGTTACAGGCACATACCACTATACCAAGCTTTTCATGTGGATGCTGAAAGTCTGAACTCAGATCTTCATGCTTGTGTGGCAAGGACGTTACCAACTGAGCCCTGAAACCTAGCTCCTGATTTCTTCTTAAAAGAATACTAGTCATATTTGCATTAAATCTAACCCATAAGACATTATTTTCTTTCTTTTTTAATTGTTTTCCTGAAGTTTTTACAAATGTTATACAAGATATTTTGATCATATTTGATTATTTCCCCTATCTGCACCCCCTTACTAGCCTCACCAATTTCATGTAATATATATACACATATACATACATATATATGTATATATACATATATATATATATATAGAGAGAGAGAGAGAGAGAGAGAGAGAGAGAGAGTGATTAAATAGTTGCCAGAATAAACTTGTATCCCTAAATGCCTTTCACTGAGTGTCCATCCACTGGAGCCTGGTCAACTTACCCAGAGTCACACCCTTAAAGAAGACTGAATCTCCCCTTCACAGCAACTATCAGTTGCCAATACTTCCTCAGGTAGGGTTAGGATTTCTTACTCACTTCCCCACTTATATGCTGGGATTTTGTCTAGCTTGAGCTCACGTGGGACTTCTACATGCTGTTACCATTGCTGTGAGTTTATATGAGTAACTGGCCATCTGTAGAGTTAGCTGTGTCTCCTTGTGGTCATCCACCACTTCTGGCTCTTATGATCTTTCCTCCCCCTCCTCTGCGAGGATCCCTGAGCCTTGGGAGACAGAAGTTTGATATAGGGGTCCTATTCAGAGATAATCACTCTTCAGTCTCTTATGCTCTATGTGTTAGCCATATGAGGGTCTCTGTGGTAATCATCATCTGCTACATGAGGAAGCTTCTCTGGTGAGAACTGAAAGATGCATTAATCTATGAGTATAAAAATAAGTCATTAAAAGTTGGTTTAATACTATGCCCAAAATTCGAGTGAAGAAGCAACCTAGAGAATTGGAAAAATGTCTTTGCCAGCTATAATTTGGAGAGAGGATTAGTACTTAGAATATACAAAAAAACAAATAAAAAATTTCAACTGAAAATTGAGGCAAGGAAGTTATTGGGGAGTTCTCAAAATATGAAATATAAATGGATAAATAATATTTTTTAATTCAACATCTTTAATCATCAGGTAAATTCAAATTAAAACCACTTTCAGATTTTATCTTATCCCAGTAAGAATAGGTAAGATCCAAGAAACAATGACAAATTCTTGAGAGGATGTGGAAAAAGGGGAACAATTATTCACTGCTGGTGGGATGGTGGGCATAAAAACTGATCAACCCACCATGGAAATCAGTGTGGAGGTTCCTCAAAAAAACTAGAAATAGATCCGCCACATGACCCAGCCATGGGACACACAGCATGTGCCCCTAATACAGAGATACCTGTTCATCCGTGCTCATTTCTGCTCTAGTCACAATAGCCAGGAAATGGAATCAGCCAACATGTGCATTAGTTGATGAATGGATAATGAAATTATGGTACATTTACACAATGGAATGTTATAGAATGGATAGAACTGTAAACAATCATTCTGAGTGACATAATCCAGACCCAGAAAGACAAATATTACATTTCTTTCTCTTAAGTAGATGCTAGTTTCGAATTCTTAGATGTAGGTATTCAATTGGAAAATCCATATTGGCCAGGAAGCTGGTAAACAGCAATCGAGAAAGGTTTCTTGGGAGAGGAGATAGAATGCAGTGATATAAAGGGAGAAAGATGAAGAATAGAGTAGGAAGGGTTAAATGGAGTAGATCATTGGAAGACAGAGCAAGGAGTATGGGGAAGGATAACCAACACTGACACCTTTAGAAAAAGTCATATGGAAACCTGCCGCTATAAAGCATATCTATATGTATGAGTCATCTTATAACAAGGAGACAGTGCCACTACTAGACACCATGGGCTAGCAAAGAAAAAAATCCCAAAGTCACAAATGGACTCCCTCTCTAGAAGCTGTTGATCAGTGGTTTTGTAGACCCTCAAACAATCCTGGTCATTGCCCCTGTACCTGGTTAGCCACCAGAACTTCAAAGTAAGACTCTGTTGCTGAAGGTTCTACATACATGGGTTGGAGAACAATCAAGGAGAAATCAAGCTAGTTCTGATTTGAAAGCTTCAATGCTATTGGTTAGTTTTCATAGTACTGTAAGGTACTATGTATGCTACTGGAAAAGAGAAGTAGTTACCCTTGCCCTGTTGTGACCCCTCAGAACTACAACAACAACTGGTTTGGCAAGATATGCCCACTGGTGCAATAGTGGCACTAATATTATGGAAATAACTAATCACATTCTGCTAAGATTTAAGGTCTGCTTCACAAGATGGAACCCATATCTGACTCTGATATAGGGTTTAGAAAACTGGCTAAACAGGTTTCAGGCCATAATGTAGAGCCTAGCATTATTCTGCTAAGTAGACATTGTTTTCTTTAATTATCTCTTTAAAGACCCTGTCTCTAATTACAGTCACAGGAGAAGGCACAGGGGTGAAGAATTCAGAATATGAATTTGGAAGTATAGTAATTCTCCCTGTAGTAGTGCTAGCTAAGAAATTCACACGCATGAAACTGATTTAAACGCTCCAGTGTAGCGGGGCTTGGTGGCACATGCCTTTAATCCCAGCACTCGGGAGGCAGAGGCAGGCAGATCTCTGGGAGTTCGCAGCCGGTCTGGACTCCATAGTGAATCCAGGCCAGCTAGGGTGACAGGGAGACCCTGTCTCAAAAAGACCAAAAAAAAAAAAAAAAAAAAAAAGTTCCAGTGTAACACAGTTAGGAAAGCAGAGGCTACTGAGAAAAATTTGGAGTTCATAATCACATACACTGTCATTCCAGTCCAAGTTGAATGGCTAATGACCTCATTTTCTGAGACTTACTTATGACCTGTAAATTGGAAAATAATTTTTAACATAAACAGACACATTTAGGTTATTTTTATTTCTTTTTTTCTAGTTTATTCTTTATTTTTTTTAATTGTTTATTTTTGGAGAATTTCACACTGAGATCATTCAGTGTTGTTCATGTATACTTGTGTTTAAGGCTGCTCACTTGGGATTAGATAACCTCTCAGGAAGCTCGTCCCTGAAGAAAACGGATTCTCCCTCCCTCAGCATCCACTGATCACCTGCAGCTCTTCATCTTGAGACCCCATTGACATTCTCTTGGCATCCACTTGGGCATGTCAGCTGGTTTTTATCATTATGCCAGCCTGATCTACACAATGAGTTCCAGGCCACCTGAGACCACAGGGAGACCTTTCTCAAAAAAACAAAAAGAGATATGCTGATCTCGAGTAAATCACAGATACATAATTAATTCTAGAATGTTCATCCTCGTTTCTATTGGCATCATCATTGACTACGTCCCCTGGCTTAGGCTAGGCCATTCATTATAAATGAGTCCTACAGAATCCATACTATGTCTTCCTAAGTCACAATTCTCTTAACCATTATTCATCCTGCAATCAAGCCATCTTTATAAAATACAAACTAGAATACCTCTTAGAAGTGTTAGTATTTTTCTGAAGCTATCTACTGCGTAGACATCCAGTCTTCCTTGATGCCCTACCCCACACCAACACTCCACCTAAGAAGAACAAATATGTGTGACAACTAAGGACAGATATAACTAGACTCCCATTCTTAGGATAAAAATGTTCTTTCTTATTGTGATTGGAAAGGAAGCCTCTAAGGAATGAAGCCTAAGAAAAAGAATACAAGATGCCCTTCCAGTCTCTGATTCATTGGGTTTTGACGCACGCATTTTAGACACCCTCCTTGAAAATTTTCCTGTCTCTTGTGGGAGCATTCCTGACAGTGCCTTGTGAGAAAACAATGGAATTAGTCATCAGCACATACTGATGACCTTATCTCAGGTTTTTGAGATTCTTCTAGAAGACAGGCCTGTATCAAATATGAAAGAGAAATCCTAAGCCCTTAAGATATCAAGTCTTATCTGTTTACCTCAATAGATAGCAGTTTTACAATGCATAATACAGTCATGGTTAGTTACCATCATGAGCCGCATAATTCCACCATAGTGGAACATGGATGCATGGGAAGCCACTGGGTTTTCCACTCCTTCCTGTGAAGCGGGTTCAATTCAAGGCCCATAATCTCTCAGTCAATGGAGAAATCCCATCTCAGCCAAAGACAGGAAGCATTTTGAAGCAGTTGGAAGATAGTGAATATTCAATAAGAAATAAATGCACAGCACGTGACCAGTGTTAGATTCGGGTAACTGCTCTGATCATCTCCCAACTTCACTGACTTAACACAATAAACATTTATTTCTTGCTCATGAAATGCTCGGTGAGAATATTTATGATTGCTAATAGGCAAGGG